ACTTTCAATTTGACTCGAAACTAGTGACGCCGTTACATATCTCGTCACAGGTGATTGTAACTAGTGACGTGAAATAACGCTCACGTCTACCATTTAGTTCAAGTCAGACAACGCACGACATAGCTTGTGCGCTTTTTATTTCTTTAATACACTTGCAAGTCCAAAAAGTATATTAAATAAAAGCCACTTTAGTTATTGCTACCGAAATACAGCACTATACTAACGCGAACAATTTTGAAATAACAGTAATCAATTTTTTCAGACTGTCAAATAGTGTAAAAATGAGTTCTGAGATAACAAATAAACCAATCGGTCTAAAATTAAGAGTGTTACATTTCGTACGTTTAGCAATTGCAGCTGTGGCAAGGTTCTTCTTCACGTTATATTACGGCACAGAAGGGGAGAAGTTGCCCCCCATAACGGATGACATCCTCAAGCTACCGGCTGTTGATGTTGCAAAGAAAATTAGACGAAAAGAGGTATGATTCTAATTTATATAACACTCATGTTGATTTACAGTAATGTAAGATTATGTTAAAAGCTAAAGATAACGTTTATTGTCGAGTATACAAGATTGCAAGTATATTTTATGGGAGGTAAAATTCGTTGTGGAATTATGACATGTGACACAATGACACATATTGTTACAGAAAACCAATTCTATGCGGAATTACCAGAAAAATATTAATGTGATTCGTATATACCTTCTGTTTCCTTTTAGTTCGAATAATTTCTTATTTTGTGTAGATTTAAATATTTTTTTTTATGTATACCAATATTATAAAGAGGTAAGATTTGTAATTTTTTATGTATTGAAATAACTCAAAAATTAAAAGGCCGATTTTAAAAATTCTTTCACCATTATAAAGGAAATTTATCTGTGAGTAACATAGGCTATATTTTATTAAATAATTTAATAGTTTATTATCTATTTTCGAATTTAATTTCATAAACACTTTAAAACAATAAATGCTATGCAACTGAGGGTATGTAAAAGGAACGATTGAATTATAAGTACATTGACTTTTTAATACTAACAATTTCAATTGATTGGTAACAATCGAGTGTCGTTTACTGGCCAATGACGTCACTGAGTGATTCAACTGTGCACGAGTTGCCGGCAAATTTAACAAGGCGGTATAAAGCTGTCTTTTATTTTTTCCCAAATTAAACAAGTTCTATTATAAACGTATTCAAAAACCCTCCTTTAACTACAAACGTTCACACAATACCACTTTAAAGATAAAACAATTGATATTGTATTATGAAATTCAAGGCCGTTTCATAGAATGAGGTTATAATTCAGGACATTTAGTGCGGAAGACTTCTACATTTATAATCTTTATAATAAATAATCTATATTTACGTCACACAGGAAAAATTGTATGCTAAAACCAGTATAATCGGGTACCTAAAGGCTAACAACTTTCAATACAAAAAAGACTATATGTGACTTGTCAACCTTTGACCCCTTGTCAAAAAAAAAATATCGTGCAGTAAAAAAAAAAAAACAAAGAATTGTAGTCAAACCCGAAGAAGTGGCAACCTTAGTTCCAAATGAAACTGGATTTTGTTGTGATTTTCTGCAACACAAAAAATAATTGAGTAAAGATATCGAACATTCTCGATGTTTGAAAAATATGATACACACGACTTGGTCCAGATAATACTCGGAGCATTGCTAAAATATTAATTACAAGCTTTCGTCCGCGACATCGTCTGCGTGAAATGAAAAATATAGCTTAAGTTACTCAGTGGTAATGTAACTATTTATTGGTGCAAGATTATTTAAAATCGACCCGTAGTTTTTGAGTTATTTCAAAACATACACTTAAAAATACAAGTCTCTTATAATCACAATCTTTTATAATTAGTATAGAGCTTCGTGGAACATAAAGGTTTACACTAAGTCTGAGAAAATAAAGTCTAAAAGTATCTTTTGGTACCATTTAATTATTAATTGCTATGTTTTTCTTGGAATAAATTTAAATAACAGTGAGTCAGATCTTATTGAATTGCAGATTTATCTTATGCAAGAATATTGATGTTTTCCTTATCCTTTTATCCTTTCGAGGGAAAATGACTATATTATATAGACAATTTAATATTTCGTTAGTAAATAAAATATTTATAAAGTTATAGCAGTGCAATTTGGAAATGATTTAGGACTTTTTTACAGTTATACAAAACATAGTACAAAAACAATAATGTATATGTTATTACTAGTAAAATGACGTCAAGGACTGCAAGAAACTGAAACTTTTTCATTTTTCGCAATGAATATTCATGATTCTAAAGCAATTTTTGTGCTGTTAAAATAATAATGCTACTAAATAAGACAAAACAAATTGATAATAACGATGTTTTCCTTTTATAAAATAATGATAATATATGCGAAGTCTCCTCCCGTGGCTCACTAAATATGTATATGATAATATACTAACGAGTATGTTAATATATAATGCTGCCTTTTTTTAGACATTATGCAAATCAACTTATGTATAGATAACCTGTTCCGTCTCAACTTTATATTTTGAGGGTAAAAATAGACGTTTTTTCGTAAATAAATGTGATTACTAAAGAAATTGCATTTTCTCATTTCCTAAAACCTTCAAGCAATCAATATATCTATTTCTATACTAATATTATAAAGGGGAAATGTTTTTATTTTTGGATTTTTGAAATGACTCAAAAACTACTGGGCCGATTTTTTTAATTTTTGTACCATTAAAAAGCTATGTTATCAATGAGTAACATAGGCTATGTTTTTACTATTTTTTTAATTGCGTGCGCGAATTTAAGTATAATATTAATTGTGTATTTTCAACTAAGGTACAAAAAATCACATGGATCTATACAAAAACGTCGTACATTGTTTCAGATCTCCAGCGTGGAAGTTGTAGAAACATGTATTCGTCGTATACGTGACGTAAACAGTGCACTTAACTGCTTTGTTGAGGATCGATTTAATTTGGCTCTGAAAGAGGCCAAAGAGGCAGATGACCTTGTGAATAGTGGAACTAAAACAGAACAGGAACTAGCAATAGATGTACCATTTCTAGGCGTCCCTTTTACAACTAAAGATTGTATTGGAGTAAAAGGTAACTATTGAAATTATTACTAGCGATGGAGCGGTGTAGACAACATTTTTGTGACTTCAAAATTTGTCTTGACGATTAAGATTTTTTTTTTAAATTTCAGGCACTTTAGGCTCAATTTATCTATACCATTATAATAAAGCGTAAACACACACTTCTTTGTTGCCTAAGATGTCAGCAATTACGGCGTAATTTTGAATAACTCTTTTTTTAATAAAAAGCCTTACACTTACATTACGCTTTAGGCTATATATTTTCACGCTATTAAACTTAGGGGGTTAATATTTTGGATAAAAACTCTTATGCGAGAAAGAAACCATAAGTTGCTGTCAACATCAAGGAAGCAAGGTTGCCATGGTTTATCATGTCATTTTGACATTTGCAATTGATAATTTGACACATGAAAACAATAAAATAGATTTTCATAATTGTATGCGGATGAAGTCGCACGGAAACAGCTACTTTTCATATAAAATGGTTAAAAAAATAACATTAGTACGATAGACTTTATAACATAAATTTTTATGTCGTTGATGTATTAAAAACCAGTTACAAAATTGAGGTAACTACATGAACGTCTTCGGGTGGGAGGGAGAAGGGGCAGTCATACCAAACAAAAAAAAGGTTTTTAGCCAACCTTAGCAACTGTAGTACAAAGGACTGAAATTTGCCCTTATTTTACACTGATTATATAGTAAAATATTCCTGCCATAGAATTTAACGACCTTGTAATTTTCCAGGACTACATCTAACAGCGGGAGTGGTATTAAGGAAGGACGTAATCGCCGAGGAAGACGCTGACGTCATAAAACTGTTACGTCACAAAGGCGCCATCATCATTGGACTTACAAACGTACCTGAACTTTGCATGTGGTAAGCAGAGAGTTGATTTTTGCATAACAGTAATATAAGCCGAGTTCAAATATTGATATTGTGACCTTTGAGACTGTAAGCTGCAAATATACTATTGTTTATTCACAAAGAGAAAAAGGTTGTTACCACAGTTATGAAGACATAAAAACGGAAATTATTCGTCGTACAAAAGTCGTTAAAATATTTATCGTTGAAATAAACACATTTATTACTCAGAATAAATGCACAATTGAAAAGAAGTAACATTAAAATAAAATATTGCAAGAAAATAATTTGTAAAGTTGCTTAAAATATAGCGAATTCGTAAAATAAATTCATAAAAACTAACTGTACCACAAACAAAACAACATAGACATTGTTTAGTTAAACTCAAGTTTTAACTCTGTATGCCGTTGAATGATAGTATAGACCCGTCTATACCTCCATACATCGATGTTATGGACATCAATGAGGTTATATATTTCACCATATTGCTTGATATAAGTATTTTATTATTTAGTGGTCACAATGGCGTTTTACTAGTTGGAATTTGTTTTAAAAGCTAATATTTATAAATTTGTAAAAATCAGCGCCAGCTATTTCACGGTATAAAAGGGTTGAAGATTATTTATGATAAAAAGCATTTGAACACACTTTTTATGGTAAGGTACATTATGTTTATCAGATTACGACGAATGAGCGTATGACAATAGAATCAGATTAACTTTGGTCATTCACTTCCATTTATATATGTATTGTGAATGATGGAAAGCAGTTCATTCTAATGCGCGGACCGAGAACAAAAGAACGGAAGATCGTCTTCAATCTTGATGTGCTGTAATGAAATGTCTAGATAAGCCATTTAAGACTTCATTTCACTATATTTGTTGCCATTATTGTCCGCAATATAACCGCGGTGTTGTTCCGAAACTAAACGAAACGAAAACATGTGTCCTACTCTCTTTTTCTATGCGTATAATTTGTGACAGAAATACGATTGGAACTGGAAGTGGAAACTATACGTTAAGTAATTTGTGCATCAAATCTGTGGTGGGCCGATGTTAGAATTCGCAATACGACTCTATGGGCACGAACTCGGAAAAATACAAAATCAACACGCAAGCCATAAAGACAAACACGCGACATACCTTGACTGTTACGTAAATATTACCGTGGGTTTCCACCGCCATAACTCAGTGTTATCTTATGTTTTCGAATGGAAATAAGCCGGACAATAAACTCATTTAAGGAATCCAAGCAGACAACATATATCACAACTCTTAATAGTAACGCCAGGGCCTAGATGATGTTATTGAAGGGCAATTAATGTTGACGCCATAACACGTAGCCTCGTCGGAATGAGTCCGTAACCTTCATGCGACATGACCTTTGTTTACGTAAAGCCACATGATCTACGAACATGTCATAACTATACCATATACATAGTACATCGATATCAAAACCCATTTATTACAATGTCAATAAAACCTTTTGCATACAAAAGTGAACTTACAGGGCGAGTCGATGATAGTGAACGTGTAAAAAAATGAGTTGAAATTTCAATAACAACAATATCCAAGCCAAAACGAACCTTTCGAATCCAGGAAATTCAACAAGGACGTGTATTTTTTATCTTTTTCGTAAAGATTTGATCGTTTTTACTAAATCATTTTAATTAAAAAAAAAATAACCTATTAAAAGCGTCTGTATCACTAATGTTCTAACTTAATTTTTCTTAGGTGGGAGACACACAATCATATACATGGACGGACCAACAACCCCTACAATACAACGAGGATAGTTGGAGGTTCGTCAGGAGGTGAGGGATGTCTTCAAGCGGCTGCTGGGAGTATATTTGGAATTGGTATGTTTAATAGTAAAAAGGTGCTAATAAAATCTCAAATCACAAAACAACTATTCATGTGACAAAATATCGTAAAATAAAGATTACAGCAACTCTAATGATAATTAATTGTAGATATTGTTCATATTTTTCGTAATGAAAATTGTAATTTTAACAGGTTCTGATATCGGAGGCTCGATTAGAATGCCAGCATACTTCAACGGCATTTTCGGACACAAGCCATCCAGGAATATTGTATCAAATTCAGGCCAATATCCTATTCCGCAAACTGAGCTGCTTGATTCATTTTTGGGTATGCATAATATTCTTTTTAACACTAATCTGCTTATTGTTTTACTAGCTTTCGCTCGCGACTCTGTCCGCGCGGAATAAAAAAAACTGAATAGACTATGTGTTCTTCCACATTCCAGACTACATTCCTCTACATCTATACCAATATTCATAGAAATCCGTTAAGCCGTCTAGGCTACAAACATTCATCGATTCATCTTAACTTTCGCATTTATATTAGTATGCAAAATATTACATGCAACTATTTTTACGTGTTTAAGTGAGTTCGTAACTCGCACTAATCGTGTTGTTTTTTTTTAAGGTATTGGCCCTATGACAAGACATGCAGTGGACTTGAAACCTCTTTTAAACATAATAGCTGGAGATAACAGTAAGAAGCTAAAGTTAGATAATAAAGTTGATGTGTCCAAATTAAAGGTTTACTATCAGTTCAGTAACGATGCCCCATTAACGGATCTCGTGGACCCTGAGATTGTCGCAGCTATGAAGAAAGTCGTAGAGTTTCTCAATGTGAAACACCAAATGAAACCAGAAGAAATTAAAATACAACAACTTAGGAAATCTATCGCTATTTGGCTAGCCAATATGAAGAATGAGAAGAAATTCGGATATTTTATTATGAAAAATGATAGTGTATTCTCAATTTGCAAGGAAATATTGAAAAACATAATCGGATGTTCGGGAAATACATTTATAGCTCTAGTCACATCACTATTTGATTACAATGGTCCCGAAATTGGTGATGACAAATATAACCATTTTTTAAAAAAACGCGATGAATTAGAGAAAGTGTTCAAAGACACACTCGGTGATGATGGTGTGCTTTTGTACCCAACCCATCCAACCACAGCTCCTTACCATAATGAACCAGTGTTCCGACCTATGAATTTCGCGTATACTGCTATAATAAACTGTCTTGGATTCCCATCAACTACTGTACCTTTAGGATTGAGCAATGAGGGTCTACCCATTGGTATCCAAGTGATCGCCAATCACAATAACGACAGATTATGTTTAGCTATGGCTGAAGAACTTGATGCAGCATTTGGTGGATGGAGGGAACCTCAAAAAGCTTAAACGATAATTGCATTTATGTATTTTTATATCAGAAATTTATATGTACCTATTTTTTTACTAAGAGAAGGTATTTTAATGTAATAATTATATTCATTGAAAAATAAATGTCTATTATTTAAGTTCAACAGATTAAATTATAGTCTTTTGCAATTTTATTGTTAATAAAGAGAATGTAAACATTAAAATATGGTTAACTAAATCATAGTAAAGCTAAACAAACCATAACCCAATGCCTGACAAAAAATAACTAGCAAAGATCTTGTTACACAATCGGGGTTGTTATTATTTGCTCTTTGCATTTAACCTTTATAATTGTCAATCGGTGCGGCGCGTCAATAAGGTAGTAATTAAAGGTGACTCACACACTCAGCAGTTTAACATAGATTTTAGTTAAAGCAAAAATAAAAATGACTAAAAAAGCATTTATCATCATCATCACCACTACCATCAGCCTTTGGCTGCCATTGACATTGCCATGGACATTTTTTCAAGAGTCCAATTTTAAAGAATTGGATTTTTTATGACATGTTTATTAGTCTTTTTTATTAATGAACTTACATCATCTACCTTACGTAATTCTGGAATGGCCCCATTAAAAAACAACTCCTTGTTTCTTTTGAATCTTATACAAAACTTGTCATGTATTTTAAGTTCTGTTGATAATAAGCTTTTATACAAGATGTACTACAAATTCTATAATTCATCAAAAACTATATATTGTATTCTGTTATAAATCTGTTAATTCTTAAATAAACGTGTGGAATTTTGCATTAAGAGAAGGATAGAGTTTCAAACTTTTTTTATTTATTATTTAACAATGCATATTTATTTTTTAAAATTGATTAATGAGATGCATATTATGTAGCAGTCTAATGTATGCACAACTAAACTGATAACTTTTATAAAATAAACTAACCCATAATTCTATGTAAGGCCTTATGGGATTGAGTATTACAGGCAATTAAATATAGCAACATTAAAACAATAACAATTTATTGAATTTATCTTTCAAAAAACAAACTTTTACTTTAGTCTTATTTCCACCAGGTACCAATTGGAATTTAAATTAGTTTAATTTTATTTTATATTTGCGAGATTTTTTATTATATTTATAATCTCCTTTCTCTTTTGATTTGGGTTGACTTTAATTTTCATATCACAAGAGCCTACATCTCCATACTTGGAAGCACAATGAGCAAGCACTTCAGTATTGCAAATAACATGTATTCCACAATCATAGCCATTGCTTTGCTGGTGGCATTCCTTGTCACTGAAGCTAATAGTACCTAGAAAGAGTCATTTCATTGTTAATTGAATTGAAAAATTACAATTTAAAAAAAAAATTACATCAAATCTTACCCCGTTTTCCCAAATAAGACATCAAATGACTAGCAAAGTCCCATGCTACATTATGATTACTTCCTGAAGACGAATCAAGGTGGAAAAAACAACTTTCCATCTTGGAATAAACAAGAAGGCTCCAATGAGAACCTCCGGCCATATCTGGCGAGTTGTTATCATTTAATGCAAAAAATACAAATTCCTTCGTACTAATATTCAGAGGTTCTAAAAATATTTTAATCTCTTCTGGTTGAACCATTTTGATGCACTGTGTTACTTCAGGTGAAACGAATAATAAATTCTTTGCATTTTTAAAAATGACTCTGTCTAGATACTCAAAATAAAAGGAAATTATAGTGTCGTTTAGCCAATATGGACCATCCAGTAATTCTATATCTGACTGATGTAGTAAGGTTTCATGAAAGCTTAGTATAACTGACGATTTTGCCATTTTATTTGTAAACACAATTCTTTAAAAATTCTTCAATCACCAAAACATCTGGTAATGAACAAAAAATTAAACCAAAACACACAATTTGATAAATAAAATAAAATACACAATAAAACATAAAACTTACCAGTTTCAGCACTAATAACAATAAATAATTGGCTTGAGATATTTTTAACGACAATATCAGGTTTCACTATACAATAATGTTAAAATTTTGCACTAAACAGTTAAATTATATATATCATTCAGTCGCCTTTCTGGTTACATGTAAAAATAGTCTTTAGATCCTTGTTCAGTAAAGCAATAATTAAAAATCTATCACTATAACACCAACAATTTGTCTGACTTTCATGATTTTTGGCAAATTGGAAACTGTCAACTGTCAACAATATTGACAAATTGTGACAATTTAAAATTGAATTGCTGTCAGGGACAGATTACAGTCGTGTTTCAGTTTCTTGGCGTTGGTTTTCATGCATGAGAAAAGTTGAATGTGCAAGTAGGTGAAATGTTGAAGTTACATTAAGTTTTTTAGCTAGACGCATAGGTGAATTAATTATTTATAAAATAATAAAGTCAGTCTGTTGTATATCACGTGACTACTTTTATGGCAACATTGACATTGTGAATCCTTAAAACCTCCATAGCATGGCAATACAAAGCTCAAACTGAAATTCACACAATGCAATAGTCCTATCCTATATAGCTGAGTAATTTGTTGTAATGGCATTTGATTACGCAATATTATTTAAAAAAAACTAGAGAATGAAATTGGTCATTGGTGACAAGTCATTTTATTTCTTTCAATCTCTTGACCTTGACGGAGATCCTATATGGACCTTAGCCACTGCAACGATCTTTACCACTACTGTTTTAAAAAATCTCAAGGAAATTAATGCAACACAAAGATTTAAACAATTTATTTTTGTAACATAAACAGACAAAACATTATTATAATCTACACTGGTAACATTATACAGGAACCATTAATAATAATCAAAATGTTACTACATCCTATTTAAGTATAGTTTTATCTAAGGTTAATTACAAATAAAAAAACCTTTCGGTGTTGTCTAAGAATAATTTAATAACATTAAAACATTCACAACATTACATTGAATGGTAGGCATTAAATTTGAGGCAAACAATTGCTCACAAAAACTTGTACTCCGATGGGATTAGTCATGAATATGTGAATGATCATTTCCTATTGTTTTGGTCACATTAACATAAAATATACAATAAATATTAATGATACTGATTGGCCTAAAAAATGAGAAGATAATTTCCAAATGATAATGGAACTTCCAACTCATTTTGAGGTATTGCTCCTAAATTCCTTATAGGTTACTTGCTGGCTTCTTTCAAGTACGCAATGAGGTCTGCTCTCTCATTGGCCTTTTTGAGACCAGCAAACACCATCTTGGTACCAGGGATGTATTTCTTGGGGTTCTCAAGGTACTCAAACAGGGTGTCATCTCCCCAGATGATGCCTAAAAGAAAAAAAAAACTAATTAACAATTGCATAACTAGGAACAAAAAACAAAGAATAACTAAATTTGTACCACTTAATATTTGTACTAATACAAACATAAATCTTATATTTCTAGAATAAAACATTCAATGAGAAACATATCTTTCTTTAAATTATCTAATCAGTTGATCAGTTTTATATAATTAATAGTTAATCCTCTTAAAAATTGTTCACAGAGCTGAACTAAATATGAAATTTAATCTTTTTATGTAATATAAAATTTCATGTAATATACTAGCTTCTGTCTAAAATTCCATCTGCTTAGAACTAAAAAAAATGTAAGTAGCCTATGTGTTCTTCCAGACTATCCTCTACATTTATGTCATCAAGATCTATTCAGCTGTTTAGGCTACAAAATCTAACAAACATTGATTCAAACTTTTACATTAACAATATAAGTTTGATTATTTTTAAATGTTTAATCACCATAGATAACAAGACCTTCAACTATGTTAGCTAACCCATTACATGGCTCAGTTAAAATTAAAGTTGAGTCATGGAACTTTTTCTCAGTATACAATGTAAATTGTTCCAATTAGTTTTAAAGATAAAGTCTAGATTGTTTTAACTCATTTTCACAGTAAATTGATTCTTTTATATGTTAGAAAAGTAAGCAAGAATACGCCTAACAGGTAAATGTTTAGGTAATTCACAGAATTTACAAAGAAATCTTTTAAAGACAGGAAGGCCTAACCTTAATTTGTCAAATTAAACCAAATTAATTTATAAATTATTATAAAGTGGAAAGATTTGTATATTTGAATGTAATGAAATAACTAAAAACCACTTGAACAATTTTAAAAATTCTTTCACTGTTAGAAAGGAAATTTATGTGTGAGTAACATAGTCTCTAAGGCCTAGTCACCCCATATTAGGGTAGGCTCCAAGCCCCTCGGTGGGGATGTATAGTGAGCTTGTGATGATGATGAACATAGTCTCTATGTTTTTTAATTCGTCGAGGGTAAAGTCAAGAGCTAGTTAATTTATATGGAAACTAAAATCAATATTGATCATTCCGAACATGTGATCAAAAATTTACAAGTTACCTCAAAATCTCACATAGTGATACCATATTAATATTAATGAAAGCTTACCTTTAGCTTTGTTGGCCTCTGAATAGGTAAAGCCGGGTGCTTGACCAGTCTTGCGGCCAAAGAAGCCGTGTAGGTTGGGACCTACTTTGTGTTTGCCACCAGCCTCAACCTGTAACATATTTTATTATATTTAAGTAAAAGTCATTTACTTAAACGTTTTTTAAGATTCAGGATGTGAAGAATTTGTACCAATTTTAATAAACTAACTTGTATTACGAAATAACTGAATTTCAGACTATCAAGTACAATTATGTAATTTTTTATTTAAAAATTTAAAGTAAATGGAATTTGATACAGATAAGAAAAAAAACTTACAGTGTGGCATTGGGCACATCTTTGCACAAAGATTTTTTTGCCATTTTCAGCGTTACCAGCGGGAATACCCATAGTTTTTGACTGAAATATGAATTAGATTTATTTTATTAATACACAATTCATTCATGAAATCGTCACACGTGTTCATATTATATAACAACATTTTACTTTTGAACAACACATCGCGGTAGTAACATCTACATACAATGGTAATTAACATCTACATGAAATATTAAGTGCAAATCTTATAATATTCTTATCGTAAAGGATAATTTTATACAACTGGGTCAGGATCAATGTCAGTAGGGAATTCCAAGGTGCATGTGTCGTAATGACATTCGTCATTACGTAAGCTTTATAAAATAGAAAATAGTAGTGAATTCAAATTAAAGAATAGATTTTTCAATATAAAGAAGTGGCAAACAATTATTTTACTAAATTACATGTCGTAATTCCAAAAATATATTTTTTAAGGTTACTACAACGATCAATACATGACCGACGGCAATTACATTTTCTTGGTCGTATTAATTAAAAAAATAAAATGCACTTACTTTAAATATCCGAGAAGATTAACTTAAATTTAATTCTTTAAAATGTTACAATTTTTGCACTAAATTGAAGTGAGATCGATCAATCGCGGAAACCAACTGATGTCACAAATGTGATGTCATGTCAGTTCACTTTGTTCTTCGAGGCGCTGCCAGCGGTCATACGAATACTTCCGATTATAAACGAGTTTAGCCGAAGTGAAACTTAAGGTGGAGTTTCACTAATATTCGAATTTTATTAAATAAATCAAATTGTTATTTCTGCTGTTCGCACATTTCCCAAATGTGTTATAACTGACTATAATGAATTATTTTAATTTTATGTTCATAAAACGAATGACCAAAAATAATAATAGCCAAATTGATTGTTTTGCAGAAAATCGATGTTCGATATCGATTTTATGATAGCAATATTCACATTTAAAAAGTTATTTCTGTTTCTTAAGATAAAACGAACAGCACTCTTGCTTGTGTATTAATATTATGAAGAGGAACAATTGTTTTCTAGATTGTTATTAAAACATTCTATCGAATGTTTACGTTTGATTTAATATAACAAAACCATCGATGTTTGTTATTAAATTATATAATTTAAAACACAGTTTAGTCACAGACGAACGTTAGAAGAATATTTTCTGTAAGGGTTTCATTAAATTGTATTATATACTTTAGATCTTGACCGTAATCCTTCATCGTAATGGCTTCGTTTTGAAAACACTTAATTATTTTTAAACAGCGCCATCTAGTTTTTGAAATCGTATATTCCTATTTTAAAGAAAAAAAGATTCTTCTAAAGTTTTGAAGTCAGGCGATGTCTACTTTTTTGAAAGATGGCAGTTTCTAAGTTTCATATAAATCGTAATCGAGTTGTACAGAAGTGGGCCTTTTTTTGAAAATTAACTAACAAGAAAACCTTTATATAAAAAAGATAAAAAACGAAAAGAGAAAGAAGAAACATGTTTTTTTTTCTGAACCGTCATTTTGTTTTAAATTAACCAGAAACAGTTATGAAGCCAGACTAAGAAATAAGATGATCAAGTAAAAATATTTTATTACGTCACATTCGAATTGGGTCACTACCACCTAATAAAAACTATATGAATACTCCACTGTTGTAAGTGGATGGGGATGAGATTTTAATTAAAGTATAATAATAATACATTTTAATCGTCATAATACATACTATGATTTCTACGCCTTAATTTTTAAATTTTACGTGAAAAAGTAAAACGTCCATAAAGTTTTGACTTCGTTTAGTTTAGGCATTCAGTGAACTGCCCGTGTGACATTCAATTGTCCCAAATATAATTACGTGGACTTCTGATCGGCAGATTGAATTCCGGACCTTGATAAGGGTTAGGGACGGCCGACTGGGAAATTTATTCGAATAATACTATTAGCCAAATTCGCGATATGCACGCCTGTTGAATAATTTAATGGCGAAAGCAATCTTATTGTTGAATTTTGTACTAACTGCCACTCGCAAAATCTTTAGAAGATTACTAAGGTCCCTTAGTTTAAATTTAGTCAGGTATCTACAATATCTACAATACATAACAGTTCAAGTATATAAAAATCACTCTTTATGCAGTACTAGTTTTGGCCCGCGACTCCGTCCGCGTGAAATTAAAAACAAAAACAATACTGAGTAGCCTATGTGTTCTTCCAGACTATCATCTATATCTGTACTAAATTTCATCAAAATCTGTTCAGCAGTTTAGGCTACAAACTCTAACAAACATCCATCCGTCCATCCATCTTTCGCATATATAATATTAGATTAGTAAGGAGACGTCAGAATATTGATATCTTGATATTAGGTGGCAATTACACGCCGGCAATTTTTAATACTGTTGTAGTTTATATTTTAAAGGGATATGTTATCACGTAAGCGCTCTGGTGCTTTGCGAAAGTGTAGCCTTTATTAGATTTTTCTTCTAGAATATCGTACGCCGCGATCCTTAAACAAAGTTTGTCATCGCTAAAGGTTTTTCTAAATTGACAATATCTTTAGGCGGATAATGGAAAAAGTTTAATATATTTCTATGCATGACTAGAAAATATTCAACCAGTGATGGAAGTAAAAGTTGACAACTTTTGATGAAAGATTTTTCAGAAGAATTTTCCTTTTTTTTTGAAAATTGGTCAACATTTTTTTCTCGTATTTCAGCGATAGCTTACCTAAGTAATGGATTGTTAAAGATATCTGGCACGTCTTACCTTTTTAAAAAAAATATCGTGTGGGCTACGAGATTTTTTTAAATTCCAATCAGTTTTAATCAATATTTTCATGATGTTTAGATCGAAACCATAGCATCAACTCTTACTGTATATTAAAAGGTAGGCTTAGAGACATGAACATGTAGGCTTCGCTCTGTCGTAATTGGAACAGAGGTATAGAGCTGCATGTATCCATTAATATTAATCTTACCCGAGATGCTAATTTAGTTACCACATCTCTGTACAACGGTAACAAACAAAATGTACCTACAGTAAACATAATAAATTCCAGATATTACTAAAACATTTCAACAAATTGCAGTGTGTTTATAACTAGATTTTTTCTCAAAAATACTAATTGTTATATCATAAGGTAGCAAAGAGCAAGCTGTCATCGAAACCGACAGTCGATTCTGGAGCGACAATTCCCATAGACATCTGTCAAAGCAGATACGCTACCTTTCTTTAATTGACGGAGAAGGGGACGTACAGAAAGTGGGAATTTTATCTTTATTTAAGGAACATGTTTCATCTATTCCGATGTGGACTTTTTTCGCATAGAGACAAGCTATTTTCTCCAAACTTTGATATTGAATAAAGTAAAAGAAATGTTATCTTAAGATGTAATTAATTTCAGATGACTGAAAATCATATGTGTAAATTTTTCACTGATTTATTGTGAACAATGAACAATAGCAAGTTATTGATTTTTAAGTGATAAAGAGAAGTTCGAAAGATGCAGTATTTCTAATATACAGAAGCGATATTGCTTGCAACATGTGTAGGATTATTTTTATTTTAAATTTGTTTCCGAGTTTAATACATTTAGGTACTATTAAAATAAGATAATAATTGAATATTATGTCTTATTGCTTTATTTAGTTTATTTTTCTTACAGGAGTGCAGCAAGATATAAATGAATTGAATCGATTTACCAACGTTCCTCTAAATCAAGTAATACCATCGGAGTTATTAGAAAATCTGCTTAGATATAATGAAAAGAGCACAACTGTGAAATCTAACGTATGTGAAAAAAATAAAAACACACAATTTCGTGTATGGAATCGAGAACAAAAATGGAAGGCATTACTTAATAAAAAGACAAAACCTATTGAGTCTGCCAATAATAATATCAAATTAAATTATTCTCAATTACAAAAACTGACGTTTGTTAATAACAGCAATAATCTGAATACTGATGAATACAGTGAAATGAGTGAATTTCAAAATGATTCAAGTATTATGCTCCACGATTTGACTAATAAGGAATCAAAACTTGAACTACAAGACGAAAATTTTGAATTTGAGAGACCACAAAACAAATCGGATACTAAAAAAGAAAAAGTAAACGACGATTTACTACCGATGACAAGAAAAGGTCAGCACACACAAACCCATTTAGATAATAAAGCAGATGCTGTTAATAAACAAATATTAGTCACACAGGCACCTGAATATTTTTATTCCATAAGAAAATCAACCTCTGATAAAACAACGAAAGGTGACATTGGAAAATCAATAATTAACAATGCGTATATTGTTAATACTGAAGATGACGAAATTTCATTCAGTTCGGAATCAAATGAATCTAATGCCAATGACAAACGAATTGACAGCGAAAAAACGGAATTAATTAGCGACAAAGAGCAACATAATGAAAGTGAATCTATTGAAGATAACGATAAAAATGACTTAAATAAAATTAAAAAACAACTAGAGTTAAGGAATGGTATGAAAATGACCGATACAAGTGATTCCTCTATGCTAATAATGGAAAGTCATCGAATATGTTATGCTTGTGTGAGTTCTAGTGACCCATCTTGTTTGAAACCCTACAGGCAAACAACAGTAAAATATTGTCATAGAGATAATACGGCTTGCGTGGCTAAAAGTTACACTATTGGACGTAAGTAATTTTAAAATAAAAGTAATTATAAATTCAAATCTATTACGAAATAAGCTTATACATTCTCTAAGTCCTAGACTCAAGCCTACACTACATCTAAGGACTAAGCCTACGTCAACCACGCTGAATTACGAGTAGTGCAGTTTATTATCTTCGCACATTTCTTTGAATTTCCATATCGCTGGTTTCTTCGTAAAGATTTTCTTAACAATAAGCAAATGAAGTTTATAATAACTTAATTCTAGCGAACTTGGTGTTCTGGTTGAGTTAATATTTTAATCTGCGTATTTGAGGTGAAAATTAAGATAATTTTGAATTGAATCTAATGGTTTTATTTTATTTGGGCAAGTTAACTTCACTCGGAACTATTATTAAAATTTCGTGATTTAGAACGAACTGTATTGATTATGTTAATTTATAACGTTGCAGGTTCAAGCCATATTATACGAGATTGTGGATCCTCCTGTATATCTTCAGATATAAATGGTTTGGCTATTAATTATGAAACATGCTCTATATGTCATTCGGATTTATGCAACAGTGCGTATTCTATTAACAATTTTATCGCGCCTTTTTTAGTTTTAGTAATTATAATAAACAAAATTATTTATTAATAAAATAAAAGGTCAAAATCCGCTTTGTAATTTAATGGTTTTCATATTATTCTTTGTATATTTAACTTACAAAAGAAGGAAATTAATGTGAGGTTAAATAGCTTTGATATTTTTCTTTATTCTTCCTTATACATATCCCTAAAAATAATTTGGTGTATCAAGAAAATCAGATTATTAGTAGAAACAAAAAATATATTAGACAGTACTAACATTTATTATACCAACTTAAGGAAAGACAGACCCTTACCATTGTAAGCTTAAGTCTCAACATTTTAGTCAGTAACTTTCACACTTTGTCTCTATATGGCCGTATTGTACACGAAATGGTCTTTAACATTTGAATGAGGGTTTACAAATGTTACTATTTCGCTAGTTTACACCAGTTTTCACGTCACTATTATTCTGTGTTCGTAATCTTGTCTGTCAGTTAATTAATCTTTGCTTTTTAACAAGCGCATGTGAGATTGTATTTCGCAGATCTGTGGCGCAACACAAGAGAACAATAGAAGAGTTACTGCAGTATAAACCTATAATAACATCTTTTAATATAACTTCGTAAATCTTCGGAAACAAAGGAAATTGTGCGTTCTAATTAATTTTAATGATGACCCATTTTCGTATATTTAAAATGACTCGAATTTCCTCTTTTGTTGCTAAGCATCTCGTAATTATAGAACAATAGGAATCCACAAGGGTACGATACTTGGTTATTGTAACCTTTTTAATATAATTCATAGATTATTAAGTAAATAGAGACGTCTTTATCACGCTTTCTCCTTATTATTCCATATTCATTTTAATGTAAATATTTTAGACTAGCTGCTGCTCGCGTCTACACCCGTGTTAAGTAATAAAAAATAGCATATAACTCACTGATAATATCGCTTTTTAATTGTGTAAGAATTTTTGTAATAGACCCAATAGTTTTTAAGTTATTTCAGTAAACATACAAAAATAGATTATATATCAGTATGGATAAACAATCAAATGAAATTTATTTGAAGTCTTTCGACTAACATCAGGTAATATTGGGTGATTTATGACATTTTCTTGTAGGCGTGGTACTTAGGTATTTCAACAAAATAGTTGTCTTGATAATTGGTGTAGTCGTAATCCTCAATATCACAATTCATATTTCCACTAAATAATTATAGATCATAACGATATGTTTCGATTAAGATATTGAATTGACGTCCACCGAACACATGGTCGCGCGCGCATTCCGTCGCGACTCAAATGGAACTGACTCGATTCACAAAATGGCCGCCCTACCAGTGCTCGGTGTTCGCCATGGGCATAGAGTAAGCCTACATATTTAACTGAATGTTTGTTATAAAATAATATTTTCTTATCAGAAGCAGTCATTTATATTGTATAGAGTCCAATATAAGTTTGCGGACAACTTGTGTGACTGACATGTTTATTTTAAACTAATAAAATATTATTTTGCAGTTTATTTTAAGCTGAGATTTCAAGTTACTTAAGCTGACCGTATTTGAGATGTGACATGTCTTTAAATTCTTACTCTTCCTTCTGGAAGTTTTAACAGTTTTATTTTAAGTATAAAATATACAAAAAAGTCAATAAAAACGAACAAATAAGTATAAAACGTTTTAAAAATTTCATAAAATTAAATATAACATTATAATGAGATAAAAACCCTGTGTCATTACCATTTCTACCCGCCGTCTGTCAACTTGACAACGAATCCTCGCTTTCAATGACAGCCTTTCATTAAAAAATTTAGTCGGAGTTGCAAATCTTGTAAAATATATTAACTGTTTTTTACATTTATAACATACTACTGATAAAATTGGGTCAACTGAATATATTTTAACCTCAGGGCTATGCAAAATAACTAAACGCAGAACAGGTTCTCTTGGCTCTTACAGGTTGAGTTTATTAAAAAAAAGATAATAATAAGGGTTAAAAACTGTTATTAATGCCTGTATTCAATCAGACACAAATGATATCCAGAAATAGATCAGAAATGGATATGTCTATTTGCGATTAAAGTTTCAATTCCCCTATCCGATGGCCTGTGTAAATTGACACGGATGACGCGTGTGATGCGGGTTCCGACTCCTGGAATATTCTGGAATGTCACGCTTAGACCACATTACGCGTATCATTGTACCTCTGGATTATATTTCAAGAGTTTGTTATACAACTTTAGGCTTTGTTATCCTCGAGTTTACGCCGATTAAATTTAACTGACATGTAGACATAGTCTGGAAGAATATATAAGATTCTTAATGAGTTTTCTTCGTTCAGATGACGACTTTTTTTATACAAAAAGGTGGCAAACGAGCAAGAGGCCACCTAAATCTGCCAAATTAGCGAAACGACCGCTGCCCAGACATCCGCATGCAAATGCGTTGCCTACCCTAAATCGACGGAGGAGGAGACTCGCATAAACAGGATATTTTCTCTTCCTATGCGTCTCCTCCACTGTCAAATCCACTTTCCCATCCAATGCTTTCCTTAATATAAAAGGTGGGACGGGAAAGAGACTAAAATTGGTCCTCCGACGCCACACTCATCAGACGAAATGCGGAATTACTTCCACTTCACGCCTGTCTTGTGTGGTCGTGGCATTTCACCGGGCGAGCCAACCCATTTGTGCGAAAAAGTTAAAGCGGGCTCTACAGTACAGTGGTACCATAAGTCCCGGGCAGAAACTAATACGGGATAATATTTTTCATAGCTTGTTTATACAGAACATAATCTGTATAAAAAATGTATAAACAGTATAAATGAAAAGAATTAAACATTGTTATAATTTAATAATCAGAAATTAACTTTAAAATTTTAGACGTATAAACGTAAACAAGCATTTTCAATAACGATTTAATTTTACTAATAAGCCGTTTCGCATTGCAGTTCTTCTTTTCTTTAAAAAGAAACAACATATGCAAGGTTCAAGAGCCCAAAGTATTAAAAGAAACAAGCAAATGTGCGGTGGTAGGAAACATTGAGGCATATCTAAGTGCAGCTCTGGATATAAAGGCAGAGTTTCACGGGGATAAGGTTTTACGATGTTACTTCAGAGCTTTGTTTTCTTTAGTTTTTGCGATGTTGGAGACAATAAATCGACCAACAACCGATGTTACAGCCTCCTGTAAAATGTAAATATTTGTTGAGATAGCTTCCCCGTATGTTACATCAAAATACTACAATTCTTTCACGTTACTTTTATTTGGTGTTAAGGAACGTAAAACTTAAAAACAGTAAATCATTTAATTTTGTGTAGAACAGTAAATTAAAAAAAAAATTGTACCTACCTTTACAGCATTGATTTTACCCGTTTTTCCTTCAGACATCCTTACTTTTTGAATGATTAATTTATTATTTTTCGTTGCAGATTGGATTTTTTAACTGTATTTTAACTTCATTCTAATATCTTATTGAATAATTTTATTTTGTTAGATTGTTAGAAAAATTACATAATTATTGATATCTTTTCTATTGTTTAGATAAAACCAAAATTGTTTATTGACGGCATTATCTTCGTTTGTAAATAAATTACGGCATGATTATTTTTATTTTAGCTTACATTATTTATTTCTGGAGTTTTTGCAACCTCTTGATGTTCAAATATTGTGTCAACTTCATATGACATTGTCAAATTTTTAAAACTAAAGTAAAGGAAAACCGCTTTGGTAAATCTATTTTAGCAACTATTAAAAACAGGATTTTAATTGCTTAAATTAAAAACATATTTAGTACAGGTCAATTCAAACGTTATGACCGCTCAGATTATCGCACGAGGCATACATATCTCAGGCCACACCCATGCCTACAACTTCCTCCAACAATAGGCACACGTGGCACTAACGCAGCCACTATAAATATTGAATCTTGTTTCACATTTATAGTACGAAAAGTTTCATAATTTGTTTTGTATTGATCGTTCCAATCGTCTAAATCAATTTTGTGCTACAAAACTTTTTAATTGACTACATCCCGCTTGTTCTGGAAGTTGGTCGTATCGCTCGAGTAGTTGCACAAGTTGCAAATACAGACAAACTTTAAACTGCCAGTGGGATGTCGTTTACAATTCTGTTAAACAAATATGGAAAATACGAGTATAAATATCGGTTTATAGCAAACTCATATATTACAATGATACTTTGAGAAGATTGCGCGATTTTTTTTTATTTATTTATTTAATAACGAGAATATAGCATCTTTACAGAATAAATCTAATGTGACACTATATCTACATATATTCTGTATAAAATATTCTAGTTTGTCTACATTAAACTATATTATTTATAGTTACTACGTTCATTCTATTAGAAGTTCCTGTAGAAGCGAGAGAAGCGTGTTAGGTTAGCTCTCTGCCTAGCCTTCTAGATCACGGACGGGACTTATGTTATTGTTCCTGTAGCCCCAATTATCATGTTAGATTTAATAAGAGTCATAAAAAATATTTTTTTCAATTTCGTTCCACAGTCAGTCAATCAATTCTAATAATGTACAAAAGTCGATAGTTAAATGTCAACAAAAGTAGAAAAGGACCCGAAAACAATCTATTCTTCACTATCTCTGAAGATACGGAGAACTTTCAAAGAACTATATAAAGACGTGACGCAAACGGAATAGAGAATCCCATCAGATAATATTCGTTTTACATTTATTTGCCTTGGGGTTTATCGTTTCGGATACTCGTACTATTTCACAAATGGCACACGGGCCTTTCTTTTCTAACAAATGTCTAGTAAAGTGACTGATTTGACTACATTTTTATTCTATACTAGCTTTCGTCTGCGACTCCGTCCGCGTGTAATTAAAAAACAAAAGCAAGTAGCCTATGTGTTCGCCCAATCTATCATCTACGTTTATGCCAAATTTTATCTAGATCCATTCAGCCGTTTAGACTACAAACACTAACAAACATCCATTCATCTTAACTTTCACATTTATAATATTAGTATGATACCGTACAAGGTACAGATCGATTTTGTAATATGTATTTTCTGAATGTATTATGACATGTTCCACTAAGATTCACCTTAAAAACTTGTTCGGTGACATAGTATATGTAATTACGAGTATATAAAAATTATGCAAAAGAAATAAACCTCTGTGTCTGAATTTAATACAGACTTTTATTCAATGATGTCCTGCTTCAATGTATAACATTAGCGATACGACATTAGTGGTCCCGGAATTAATTAGTTACGGGGAACAAAAACGCGCGGACTTCATTTGATTCATTCGTATTCATCAGCTTAATTGTGTACCGCTTTTAGTTGCCCGGCCTTTTCATTAGTTCGCTTATGACGTATGTTTCTCTCACCCTACAGGAGGGTGGTATTTTTAGGTACACATGGATATTTTATTAAAAGTTTTCACAATTATAATACAAATTTTCTCGATGACGTTACGAAAATAATCTCATGAATGTTCGTGATCAGCCCTGTGATTGGATTCATATACTAAGCTTGGTTACGCTCGCAATTAAGATCACACGGTACAATGGTTGGTTACATCAAGACTTATTAATATGCAATTATCTGCATAAACCTTAAATTGGTTTGATCTAAGATGTAACGTTTCAATTTACATATTAATTGCTTTTATGCCACTCTTTGTCAATCCAAGTTTTCGTACTAATTTCGTTTTAAAAACCTTTCATTTTTACAAACGAATATCGTAAAGAATAAAAGGTGAAGTAAAGAAGTTGTAGATATTTTCCATCACCACTGTTTAAGAATAGATTTTGAAGTGGTAGAGCCCGCTTTAACATCTTTGCACAAACGGGTCTGCTTGTCCCCAACAACACCACGACCATGCGTGAAGTCGGAGCAATTCCACGTACGTCTGACGGAATGGAATGAACGTCGAAGGCCCAACTTTAGTCCCTTTTCTTTCCCACCCTTTTCTTATAATAAAAGGATGGGAAGGGAACGACTCATAGGAAGGGAATATCGTCTCCTCTTCCGTTGACTAAGGGTACGCAAGGCATCCGCTATTGTGAATGCCTATGGGCAACAGACTCTTCGCCATTTTGGCGGATTCAGGTAGTCACTTGCTTGTTTGCTACCTTTTGATGTAAAAAAAAATATTATTGACCTTGTAGGTTGTTTTAAAGATTTATTATAACTGACAGGACGCGTTACGGAATTGCTTTAGGGAGTAAATCGTTTGAAGCTCTCAAGTCCCTTGGCACATCTGGACGCTTGTTAATTTATCGCTGCCGTTAGCTCCGTGACGCTGACGTAATGTAATCTGCGTTATTATTAATTAAAATATCAAAGCATATTTCTCATCAATACGAAATTTTACAATGAATAAAGAAGAGATTCAATATGACCTCACTACGGTAAATTTTTAAAAAAAGAATAAAAAACTTTGAATTGTTTATTCGGTGTTTCGTAACCATACGGGTAAATGTTTGTGGCTGTTTTAATTTTTTTTACATTTGCATCTTGGTTCTTTTAAATTAGAATAATCCAGGTCACATGCCTTACTTTACCTGTGCATTAATTTTGCGCTTTAGTGACCATCTGATTTACAGGCTGCGGTTAAAATTATCTTTTTTAATCTGTTTCATTTTTTTTAATTTACTAATAACTTTACAGAATTGTCAAAATTGTTTGAATACACTATAAATAGTATTTGAGTTTAAATATTTTCTATTAAACTTGAAAAAGAAAAGAAAGTAGAATCTTTGTACATCAGATAAAAAGAAATAGTTAATAGAGTTTTAAAGAATTGTTGGATAACGTTGAAAGCAGAAATTGTTAGAGAAATTTGTCGAGACCGAGTCGATCCAGCTTTTAAATGGAGGAATGAAAAATCTTTTATCTTTGTTCCGTCCCTTCTCTAGAGAATACAACGATGCAATTATAACGAATTGCTATAAAAATGCGGCTAACAACGCATCAGTGATTTGCCTTGTACATATTTATAGTCTAATTGATATTTAATTTCACCAAATTATTAATTTATCCCGTCTCCTAAAGGACTAGGTAGTTATTAGGAATGCACACATAATTTCTGTCTCTTTTTTTGTACTTCTGTATTAGTATTACTGTATACTGTGTCTAATAAATTGAAATTGTAACTTCATAACGTAATCTTACTAGTTAATGTTATAAATGCAAAAGTTTATATGGATGGATGCTTGTTAGAGTTTGTCGCCTGAACGGATTTTGGGCGTTCGGAACGGATCGATAAAATGTGGCATAGCCTGGAAGGTTACTTGATTTATTTTTCACGCGGACGGTGTTGCTGGCGAAAGATGGTTTTGAATAACTTTGTGGTCTGTAACTTTTTACCACTACAATAATTTTGTAAAACTAATAATAGATTTTTAACGTTTTAACAGGATTAAATCTATACTATTATAATAAAGCGTAAACACACATTTCTTTGTTGCCTAAGATGTCAGCAATTACAGCATATTTTTGAATAATTATATTTTTAATAAACCCTACAATGACGTAACGCTTTAGGCAATATATTTTCACGTTATTAAACTTAGGAGGTAAATATTTTGGATAAAAACCCTAATGTGGGAAAGAGATCATAAGTTGCTACCAACATCAAGAAAGAAAGATTGCTAAGGTTTGTCATGTCATGTCATGTCATTTTGACATTTGCTATTGATAATTTGACAAATGTAAACAATGAAATAAAATTTTCATAATTTCATACGGATGAAGCCGCACGGGAGCAGCTAGTTGTTTTATAAAGCTATACCTCGATACAAAGTTATATTTGGATAGTGGTTCAGATATAGCTAATTCATAAACGAAAGCCAAGTATAGTCCTTGAATCCCGAAAGCCGTTTAAAAGCCGACAAGGGATGAAAGTGGATGGGGAAATTAATTGTGCACCGTTTTCACTCTCCGAATTTATTTCCGCACTTTAAAAAGTGAATTAAATCGTAAAAAGATCTTCAGGCTCTTGAGCCTGGCAGCGTTTAAGACCGGTTTAAAAGTAAATGACCAAAAATTAAAGTAAGGTAAATGCACCTGTAATTGACACTATAAATAAGAATAAAGAAGAAATAAGAATAATATTTTTTAAGTGAATTTGATAAATTAGACTGATTTTATAAAATTAATAAGTTTGAAGTAAATTCTTTAAACGTATTCTGAAAACATATTTTTCGGACAGTTCAAAGGTTAAAACTTGTAACAGTTGGGAAAAATCGGCAAAAGTTTTCAAAGTAATATTGAAAACAATACCATTAAAGCAAACATTTTCTTTGGCCACGTTACACGAGTACAAAGCCTGTGCTGTCGTTATGAAAATTTTATCTTCAAAGTTGTTGGCTTACTCATATTTTCCAGAAAATGAAATATTACGCGTGGCTTTGAGTAGGAAATTAACAAAACGTATCTGAGTAATGATTTTTTCAGGTAGATTATAACTTTTAAAATGATACGTATTTTT